ATACTACAAGACCGTCATGTGACCTATCTTGAAATTGAGTCAATCTTGAGCATTAATGGGACTGGCTTACATTCAATTTTACATGAACATTTGTATAGAAAAAAATGTTTTTGAAAAATTTGTCAATCCCCCAAAAAAGGACTGGTGTCGATTGGTCGAAAGAAATGCTCGAAAAATACGATCGCGGTGCTTCGAAACACGTCTATAACATCGAGACAGGTGATGGATCATGGATTTATGCGTATGAGCCCGAAAGGAAACAGCAGTCGACCGTATGGGTATTTCAAAATGAGCCAAATCCAACAAAAGCTATCCGCTCTCCAAGCACTTCCAAGTAGTTGGTCTCCTGTTTTTTGGAAAAACTGGAAATGTTGCAACCGTACCACTGAAACAAGCAGAACACTCAATACTGAGTGTTATACCACCATTTGTTTGCCAGTTGACTTCCATAAAATCAGGAAAATCAACTGCTGAGGACGGATCACTCCTCGCCACGAGAGTGCGAGCTCCCACACATCGGCTCAAACAACTGCATTTCTGAGCACTAAAAACAACGATATGACAGGTCATCGGCCATGTAGTCTCCGGGTGACTTCTTCTCATCCCGTACGTAAAAAATAAAATGAGAGGTCAACGTTTTTCAACACCTGAAGAAGCCGTTGATTCGTTCGGAATGCATGTTGTAGAGTTACCTTAATCAGAGTGGCAAAAGTGCTTTGAAAATTGGTTCGAGCCCATGCAAAAGTGTATGGATCTTAATGTGGAGAATGTTAAAAGGCAGTTAAGCCATTTTCAATAAATAGTATTTGTTCCTGTTCTCAAATCCCGAAATATAAAAGGCAAACTACGTACTCACAATAGTATTAGTCAGAGTAAGGTAACTGGGTCTACAATCACATGAAGCTTCACTTATGTACGCCACCCAAAATCTCAGCTTCAGAGCTCGATACAATAGAATCGTAAAGCTCCCAGTCAACAAGGAACTGAGCTTAACTCCATCTTCTCCACATTTTGCTCGTCTGCCCTTTAACAAATACTGAGTGCGTTCCTTCACAGGCAGGTGGTAGTCAGAAAATCTCAGCAACACTTTCTCTCGAACGACTTCAATTTCTATTTCTTATTCATTGTCATTTAGATTCATAAGCGACAAAGAAAAGTCACGAATGAAGCCAAATGATATAACTCGTGCAGCTACTCTCAGACAACGATATTCCAGCTCACCGGTTCTAGCGACAACTTCTACCAGGATTTATAGAGACTTGGAAAAATTCACACTACGTGTGCTGCTCGTCTCGGATTCGTCACCATACAAGTGGCCAAGTCACTGTCAGTTCTGTAGGGCCCCCGGTTCTAGAATCAGCCATTCTGTTGGTCGGAAGGAGGAATCTTCTTATCTGTTGTGATTAATTTTTGATTAGTTCGATAGAGACCGGATCCGTTTATGAGGAAATAGAAAGATGGTACTACGGTTAGAAGCACAGAGCCACATCTGCTTGGAGTATACCAATAATACTATTAGGTGTGTGCTTTAATTTCTGCCGTCAGATTCGAAGTGTCATTGCGCGAACCATGTTAGAAGTTCACCAGTGAAACCTGTCATAATCTGTAAGATAAGGTATTGGCTACCTATTTAAGGGCAAGGGATTAGTTTTTCCCCAAAATCCCGTCGCTCCCAGACTGATTGGTCATGGAACATGATGAACCGTTTTCCCACGGGCCCTTCTCCTGTGTTTGTTTTCAAGAAAACTCGCATTGAAGCCCACCGGATGCTTTTATGGAGGACAAGCTTCATGTGAACGGACCTGCTGAGATGGTTCCTCTTCACTTGAGACTTTGCAACAAAGCGGTCCATTGCCAAAAAGTAATGCTGTGTGTGTATTTGGTGGTAGGATAAAAAGGGTGTTGTGTACTATGAGCTGCTGAACCCCAACGAAACTATTAGTACTGTCCGCTACGAACACCAACTTGACAATTGTAGGATGCTCTCAATTAAATGCGGCCGTTAATCGCAAGAAAATATCATGAGGTGCTGATCCACCACAGACATGCCAGACCCCATAATGCGAAGAATGTCGTCTAAAAAAATTGCAGTTGTCGGATGGGATCAGCTTGTTCAGCCCGCATACTCTCTGGATCTTGCTCTTTCTAATGACCACCTATTCCGTTCCATGCAAGTCAGTTTTTCAGATACACGCTTCCGGAATTTCGAAGAAGTGCGAAAATAGGTGGATAACTGGATTGCCTCAAAAGATGAAGACTTTCTTAGATGCGGAGTCAACAAGATATCATAAAAATGGCAAGAAGTTGTAGCTAACGATTGGCAATACATTGGTTAATGTATATTTAGTTTCAGTTTTGTAATAAGTATGTTTTTGCACGCGAAAAACGGCGNTTTCTTAGATGCGGAGTCAACAAGATATCATAAAAATGGCAAGAAGTTGTAGCTAACGATTGGCAATACATTGGTTAATGTATATTTGCTTTTAATTTTGTAATAAATATGCACGCACGCAAAAAAATGGCGGAAGTTAATGCACACACCTAATAGTTTCAGCACAACGAGCTTCATGCGATTGCTTGCTTAGCTAATGACCCATCCACTTTCCAAAGCAGTTCTACTCGACAGAGCCGTAGTGGCTAGAACTTATAATACTTCTCATTGAGACGAAAAAAGCTCGTTTATATGATACAGTCTTTGACAACAATTCTGCGAGACTACTTGAACCCTGTGAAAAATTTTTTATATGGGAAAGTATGGATGCTTCCAGGACTCTTCTATACCGTTTATTTCTTCTTTTGAGGAAATTACAAACGTTAGTGTGTGAAGGCTCGAAAGCAATCGGTCAGAAAATTAAAGTTATTTCCGAATTTTTTGAGACGCTTTATTTCTTGTACAATCTTCAGTGAAAAATGCACATAGCGCCAAAAACCACAACTTACTTTGGAAATTCATAAGTTTGTTGTGAAGCTGCTTGATGAATATCCGTGAAACGGTGTCGTCATACGTTTGTTGTTGGAACACTGCTACCTGTATCGCGTAAAACTTTGGTTCCAAATTGAGGTGGGAAGGTTCTGTATTTTCAAATGGCCAAGAACGGTTTTCATAGAATTGATGATGATCGATCTACAGTTTTATTAGGTAATAAAGAGAGAACAGTCAGCGAGACGTAGCTTCGGGAAGTAACATGCTTCCTCTATGTTAAAGGCACAAATCACGATAATTTTGAGGTGACATTTTAAGTTGAAAAGAGAAAGTGTTGATGTAGAGAAGTGCATCGGTGGCGAAGAAACCGAAAGAATCCGCCAACTTCGCGAATTATATGGCTTTCTAAAAGTAGTGGATGTAGAGGCTGCACGAGATTACCTGGCGGAAATGGCATGGAAGGGGTATTCGGAGGACACTTCAGTTGTTAGGAATGGGCAAAGAACTGATTACATCAAGTCGAAATTGTCTATAACTGTTCTGCACTGTCGCCATGGATCATGACAAAGTGTTTGAGCTTCCAATATGGGAGTCCCTTGAGATAGCGCAGCCTTCACAACACCGTCGAGACTCGTCCGCTGTGGGAGTGGCACCCACGCAATACAATTTCTGACCCTCATTGTGCCCTATTCAGGACGTCTCTCGACCTGATATCGGCACAGATGGTAGCAGGAAGGGCCCGAATTCATCCTATGGGAGAATTTCAGAAACCTCTTTTTTGTTAACTGTGCCTTTGAATCTGAAAAAAAAGTTCTAATGTTTTGCTAAATGTTGTCTCCCACCGATCAGATGGTCTCGGTCCGTTTCTTAGATGGTACTCTTTGGAATTTTTTGACGCATACCTGAAAACGAGGAATCGGATCGTTGTCGTCTTCTCCATTAATTCGTTCAACAGAAGGCAGAACGAGCCCGTCGAGGTGAATCTCCTTCACCACTTTTGAGATCAATCCGGAAATCTTATTCACTGAGAGAGTTTCCGAAGCAAAAGTCAACAAACCAGCTGAAATTCCGACTGATCCATGGGTATACATTGGAAATAGAATCCGAAACCTTACCGCACACATCACAGCAATGACCGAAAGGTCGCACAGTTGTCGTACAATTTGACGCCGTTGATGGGCATTGAACATAATTACATATCAACGATAATGTCTGGAAAACATCAAACATTATTCTATATGCACATTATATATAGCTACTAGCTTGTATTAGGGGCGGTGGTGTAGTGGCAAGCGGCGCCCTATATCACATGCACGGTCAGGGGTTCGAATCCCGGATCGATGCACGCCTAGGCCAATCAAGCCTTACATCCCTCCGGGGTCGGTGAATTGGCTCCAGACTCGCCATCTTATCCGCAACCTTTATGCCTTTTTAAACTTTACCAGCTTAAATTAATGCCAAGTTTCTCTCACAGACAAGGAATTTTCACTGTCAAACACAGTCTGAGACCATGTAAGCGATCAAGCCTGTCTCACATCCTATTACACATACGATTTTAATTATGTCGTAATCAATCCTCTGATTCCCAGCTTGCTCTGTCGTACGAACGGTAGAAGGCTGGTAGGTATTATTAGTATCGAATCATTGTTCTGAAGTGTGCCTTGACAGTACCCACTGATAAGCCAGTTTTGAGTTCTGAGTCCATTCTATGTACCCATCGCTATTCAGCGTTGCCGCTTCACTGCAAAAGAGGGTTTTTCCTGTCCTAGAACATGTCAATTACACTTCACATTCCAGTAATGATCGCTATTAAATAGTTGGGATTACAGCTCTGCCAGTTCGGACCTAGTTATGATCAATGCTGGGAAGGCGCTTCCTTCAGTATCACATTGATCTCACCTCGAAAACTCCTCCCCTCCCTAGTGTTAGCGCCACAGCTGGCGATGGGTTTTTCATACCACGTCTATATCACAGGGATAGGAAGTTTCGCGAAGTACGGACAAGCAGAGGTTCAACTCCTCCCTTTCTGGATTGGGCCCCTCGTCTAACCAGGGAAGGGTTTCAACTTCCCATGGAACTTTGAGTAGAGACCTAGGTATATCGATAGGGCTTCGAAAGCTATTAATAAATATGGAAATTAAAACTGCTAAATGAGTCTACCAAAAAAGTTGTGAGCGTTCAAAGTTTGCATGCTGAAGCATGAAGGCACAGTGACAGTTGATAAGCACAGTTGCCCGCACTGCCCACAATTGTCCCCGTGGCGTAGTGGTAGTGCTCTT